ATAAGTTTTCCATTAGTTATGTGTATTACAAGCATCTTTGCCTCCTCTACAATTAGCTTTTGTTTATCTTGATTTTTAAGGGGTCAAATTCATCCGTTCTTTTCCTTACGATTATTACTTTTATGTATAGTATTTAACATCTCTACCTATCATGAAGATATTCTTACATTATATTTTCCAATCTACATCCACACTCGGATTCATAACCTGCCTAAAACGGTTGTTGAATAGGGTGTGAGATAAAGGCCAAGTTTGTGTGTTTTTTTCCACATAGAAAATGTGTGTTCCTGTAGGCCACCATAAAGATGACTATTGTCCTAAATTGGGGACAAATAAGAAAATAGCCTTTTCTCCTCTCTCTGCCATGAAACTCCATCAAAATCAAGGGCCCACCAGACCAGAACAGAGGTTGCTTTTTGCAACCATACCCTCCCCACAGAGAGGCTGTCTGATCTTAATTGATTTTCATCCTAACATAAATCAGCAGCCCTCCCTTGCCTCCTGCTGTGTGATGGTTCCTGGCCCAGGTGGTTGTTCCGACCTGATCACACATGGAAAGTGATTTTCCATACCTAGCAGCATTCAGGTACTAGTTCCCATAACTATTTCCCACTCCCCCTCCCATTTACCTTATATAATTCTTTGGCATCTACCAAGCAGTGTGGGGATCCGCTTCATCTTGCAGCTGCCCAAGACACCCTGTGTGTAAGTTGCCCTCAATAAACTCTATTTAATTACCAAATATATATACCCATGCATGTGTGTCTGAATGGCAGTGGAATCTCTATTCCTGGTTCATTTGCCTATGCCTCTATGCCCCCATCAGTACCACACTGTCTCATTATTATGTCTTTAGTTGCTATAGCAAGAACCCATTTTATTCACATTCTTCAAGAGTCCCTTGGCTATTGTTGGCCTTTGTTTTTCTACATATATTTAGAATCGGTTAAGTTCTATTAAATATCTCGTGGGTGCAATGAATTTATACATTGCTTTTTGAAGAACTGACGTTTTTTAAATGTTTTGTCTTCCAATCCACAAACTGAATATCTTTTTCTTCCCATCGCCATTTATCTACCCTATACCCTCTTCCACCTCCACCCACCCCTTCCACCCCCCACAATCAAGACACTGTTGTCTGTATCCATTCATTCTTTTCTCTTTTTTCTTCTTTTTTGCTCAATCCCTCCACCTTCCACCCTCAAAACTCCCACAACTACCAGAGCTGTCTGCCTGTTCTCCACCTATGAGTCTGTATCTATTTTACTGGGTAGTTCAGTTTGTTCATTAAATTCCACATATGAATGAGATCATATGGTATTTGTCTTTCTCTGAGTGATTTACTCCACTTAGCATAATGCTCTCCAGGCTCATCCATGCTGTCTCAAAGGGTAAGATTTCATTCCTCTTTATGGCCAAGTAGTATTCCATTATGTAAATGTACCATAGCTGTTTTACCCACTCATCTACACTTTGACTGCTTCCAAGTGTGGGCTATTGAAAATAATGCTGCAGTGAACATAAGGGTGCATATATTCTTTCAAATTAGTGTTTTGGGTTTCTTTGGATAAATTCCCAGAAGTGAAATTACTGGGTAAAAAGGCAGCTCCATTTTTAATTTTTTGAGTCAACTCCATACTGTTTTCCACAGTGGCTGCACCAATCTACATTCCCACCAACAGTCTATAACGGTTCCCTTTTCTCCCCTCCATGCAGCATCAGCCTGGGGGGAAGCAGAATATCTTTATATTTAGGTCTTCTTAAGTGTCTCAATAAAATTTTATAATTTTCACCAAAGAGGTCTTGCACATCTCCTTTTAGCTTTATGTTTAGTTATTTCATATTTTTTCTACCATTTAAATATCTCTCAAAATTCATATAGAAATATGATTAAATTTTAAATTCATTTTGTCTCAAATTTGTTAATCTTATTAATTATAATAATTTACCTGTGGATTCCTTGGCATTCTCTGTGTACATATTATATATCAATTCTATTCCTTATTCTTTCACTACTTCTACTTCCTGCCTAACTGCAATAGCCAAAATCTCTAGCACAATGTTCAAGAGAAATCATGACTATAGCTACCCATCCAGGTGTACTTGTGTTGTTTCACTCTCAAATAAAAAGCATTCAACATTTCGCCACTAAGTATGATAGCTGTGACATTTTTGTGGATTCCTTTTATCCTATTAATGACATCCTTTTCTAGTCCTAGTCAGCTAAGAATTTTTTTTAATGAATGAGGGTGAATTTTAGCAAGTGCTTTTTTTGTTTTGCTTCAATTAAATAATCACATGGTGTTTCTTCTTTCACCCATCAATGTGATGTGCTATAGCAACTGAGTGTAGAATGAAGGTCACCCATACCTAAGGTGAACCCATATTAGTCATGACATAGTATCTTCTTGCTAATTAACTGATTGGTTTGCATCAATATTCAAGTGATAGTGGCCTATAAAGTTTCTTCCCCATATTGTCTTCATTAGATTTGGCATAGAAATTTTGCTAGTCTCATAAAGGAGATGGGTAACATCTACTCTCCAGAAGAAATTCTATAGTATTCTTTGAATAGTTTGTAGAGACTTCCAGTGAAGCCATATGAGCTTCTGGATGTCCTTGGTGAAATATTTTGGATAGCCCGGCCGGGCATGGCTCAGCGGTTGAGAGTCGACCTAGGATCCAGGCGATCGGGGTTCGATTCCAGGTCAGGGCACATGCCCGGGTTGCGGGCTCGATCAATGACTCTCTCATCATTGATGTTTCTATCTCTCTCTCTCTCCCTCGCCTTTCCTCTCTCTGAAATCAATAAAGATATATATTAAAAACAAAAACAAAAAGAAGAAATATTTTGGATAACTGAATCGATTTAATCTTTATAGGAAAACTCAAACTTCTTGAGCATGTTTCATCAGTTATATTTTCTAGGAATTTGTCAATTTTATGTCGACTTCCAAAATTATTGGCTTTCTAGTGATTTATAAGGTAGCATAGATAAGAATTATATATATATATACATATATCTCCCAAATACAAACCATTTCTCAGTTGTTGCAAATATCTTCACCCACACATAGCTTTACTTTTCACTATCTTAATACTATCTTTGATAATCAGAATTTCTGAATTTTTAAGTAGATCAATTTATTAATTTTTTCTTTTAAAATTATATTGTCTTGGCTGTTTTTGCTCAGTGGTTAGAGCATCAGCCCATAAACTAAAGGGTCCACTGTTCAATTCCAGCCAAGGGCACATACCTTGGTTGCAGGCTCAATCCCCGGGCCCAGTCAGGGCTCATGCAGGAGGCAGTGTGAGTCTCTGTCACATCGATGTTTCTCTCTCTCCCTTTCACCCTCCCCGAAAAAAGAATGAAAAAATGTCTTCCAGTGAGAATTAAAAAAATAATAATAAAAATAAATAAAAGTTATAAGTCCTTAGTGTTTTGTATGTCTTCTTTAAAAAAAAATTTCCCTACCTTATGTTTATAAAGAAATTCTCCTATCTTATCTTGAAATTTTTTATTTTTACCATTACATTAATTGGAGGTACACTGTTAAACAGTCAGTTTCATCTTTATCCAAATATACACAACAAATTTTGCTATAAATTCTTTTCATCATTATTAACTCTTTTGAACTTATTTTGTATTTCCATTATGATTTTAACTTTGACTCTTGATTTATTTAACAGTATATTTCTTAACTCTTAAAAATATACAGATTTTCTGCACGTTTAAAGTCTTAGATTCCATGAAAAATTCAAGTAATTCCAATTTTTCATCAATTACTTGCAAGGACTAGCCCCTTACTCTTCTTTGTTACTTTGAGGGTACAGACTTTTCAGCTCCTGGCTTCCTGTGAGGAGGACTTTTGATTGGACCTAGTTGGGTGAATTTGGTCTTTGCTTTCTTCCCCTCTAAATCTATATGGTCATCAAACCAGAAGCTCAAATCTTGTGGGTTCAGCAAATGCCCACAGAAAAACTGCTACCTAACTCTACAAGGTTGTAATGTTTTTCTGAGCATGCTCAGAATCTTCTACATAGTTTTAAGGGCCTCACAGCCCACTGAGTTATTCTGCAATATTCCACTTGGTCTCATTCTAATGTTGAAGGAATAGTTTCAGTTCTTTAAATTTATGTATTATAAGTAGCACCGCAAGGATGTACTTCTNCAGCAAAGACATACTTCCTTCTTAATAGCTCCAGTTCTGGGCAGAGAATGGGGATTTGGATCCTGGATGAAATATGATCTTATATGTTCTCAAGCCAGGCTCTGACAGCTGTCAACAAAATCAACTCATTAAGCCTTTACTGCAGACAGAGAACCTTCTGAAGCACAAAGGTTTTCACCATGAGGAGGAAGCAGGCAAATAGAAGACTTCAACTGTGTCATAAGTTTTTCTGAGAGTTTCTCCAGGTCCAAGAGACCTAAGAAAGTTGCCATCAGTGGCACAGCCTTGTTCTTTCATTTTCCTTCTCTGCCAGTGGCCTCTGCCCACTCAGGAGAGAGAGCTACTCAATCTTCCTTGATAGCTTCTAGAGAGAGATGGGAGCAGCCAGGGTTTCAGCAGGTGGCCAGGGCCCAAAGAGTGAGAACAGACAGGCTTGAATCCCAGAGGGGTAGGAAATGGAGGTAGTAGGCAGGTAGCAGCTTTTGTGCCTTGCTGGGATCGTATTGAATTGGGTGGGCTTAGGCTTCTGGGACACCATGCCCAAAGCCTGCCTCCTTGGTCCTACTTCACATTTCTGTTGAAAACATGACTCAGCAGCTGTGGGAGATCCTTTGTTGGTTGATTTTACTCTCTCTTCCCCCAGGTCACTGGCAGTTTTGGTGGACAAACCTCCTGGCCAGCCAGGGGTGATGAAACCTATCACCCCAGTAGAAGAATGGGAATGGGAACTCTCAAGTCCCCACCCTGCCCTTCCTTCCTCTCTCAGGGGCTAAAACTGTGGCAGGAGGAAGCACCAACAGCAGTTGACTGAGCAACCTTCCTGGGAAGATGAAGCTACTCCTGCTCCTGGTGGCCTTTCTCCTACCCTCCAAAGCTGGGGCAGGTAAGTGACCATCCAAACCCTCAGAGGCTCAATCCCATCCCACAGCCTCTGGACCCAGACTGCCTAGGCATGTCCTAGCTCTGTGTCATTGGATAGCACACTATTGAGTTCACATTCCCAGGTCCTTCATCTATAAGTAGGAATAATAGCTATACCTACCTCATAGAGCTGCTATGACAGTTACATTACTGAGTGTCCATGAACCTCTTGGCATGGCCCCTGGCATATAAACACACTCTGTAACTCTGCTCTATTCACTTTTCTTCAGCCCATGTGTCAAGGCCTAGGAGACAAGGATAGAGCAATAACAGTCCCATCACCTCATATGTAGATTCTTGAAAAACACTCCTTGCTGCTCATGAGCTGGTCATGAGGTGGTCTTAGAGGGATCAGGAAGAGAACGTACCAGGAACTTCAAGGAAAAGCCACTCCAGAGGGCTCTGGAATTTCCAACAGGACAATAGAGCTCTCCCCCACTTGAGAGGCCTAACTGGACCAGGGATTGTTTTTATTTTGGAGAGGAGGGGACCTGACTTCTGGGATCGGGATACAGCAGTGTTTCCTGCTGAACCCTGGAGCCCTCTCCCATAATGTGGTACCCTGCAGACCCCAATTCTCACCACTAAACCCTCCTTTCCCTGCATCATCTCTGTAGCTTCCCCATCCTCTAGCCTTTCAAGAGTCACCAAGCTAGTGCCCTCACCCCAGGTTCGGTGAGTGCAGAGATAAATGCTGAATACTTTCTTCCAGGGGAGATCATCGGAGGCAGAGAGGCCAGGCCCCATTCCCACCCCTACATGGCATTTCTTCTAATACAAACTTCAGATGGACAGGGCGCTTGTGGGGGGTTCCTGGTGCGAGAAGATTTTGTGATGACAGCAGCTCACTGCTGGGGAAGGTGAGCAACTAAGGAGGTTTCCAGTAACCAGTAGACAGGCCCAGTGGTTTCATGAGAACATGAGGCTGAAAGCGGGGTTCTAACATTGGGGGGGTGAAAAGAGACTGGGTATGCCCTGGCTGGCAGGGAACAAGATAGTGTAAATCCTTGAGGAGAAGGAGATAAAAAACGTGCATTAAAACTCAAACTACAAATTTGAGCTATTAATTTATCCTATTTATCTCTTTATCCTTAAGTTCACTGTGTCCCCCACCATCCGAGCTCAAGGCTTTGGAGAAAGAGAGGGCTACCCGGCCAGGCGTAGCTCAGCGGTTGAGCGTCAACCTAGGATCCAGGCAATCAGGGTTCGATTCCCGGTCAGGGCACATGCCCAGGTTGTGGACTCGATCAATGACTCTCTCTGCATTGATGTTTCTATCTCTCTCTCCCCTTCCTTTCCTCTCTCTAAAATCAATAAAGATATGTTTTTTAAAAAAACAAAAGAGAGAGAGAGAGAAAGAGAGGGCACAGAGATCTCAGCCCAGAGCCTTCCTGCTCCCTCATTTCCCTCAGCTGCAGTTTTGCTGCCCTGGGCTCTCACCTGCCCTGCAGAGCTGGCAGATTTTAGCTCATGCAGCTCATACCTACCTCTAAGCCACCATTCCTTTGCAGCACTATAAATGTCATCTTGGGGGCCCACAACATCAGGATGCAGGAAAGGACCCAACAACGCATATCTGTGCGCAGAGCTATCCGCCACCCTGGATATAGCGAGCAGAACCTCCTGAATGACATCATGTTACTGCAGGTACCACCAGCCTGACCCTCTGGTTCTCCACTTGAGCTGGCTCTGTCCCAGCTTGGAGGCTTCATCTTGTCCTGGGACCCTGTTGGAGGAGGCAGGGGCAGAGTCCCAGGGGGTGGTGGGTAAGAGCTTCACAGACATTCCCTGAGTTCCTGCACTCTTCCTGCCAGCTGGAAAACAGAGCCAGACGGAATCAGTTTGTGAGGCCAGTGGCTCTGCCTCAGTCCCAGGCCAATCTGCGTCCTGGGGCCTTGTGCACTGTGGCTGGCTGGGGCCGGGTCAGCCAGACCAGGAGAACAGACACACTTCAAGATGTGCAGCTGAGAGTGCAGAGGGATCAGGAGTGCAGCAATATCTTTCGTGTCTACAATGGCCAAACGGAAATTTGTGTAGGCAACCCGAGGGAGATGAAGACTACCTTCCTGGTAAGGCCACAGGCATCTGACTACTCAAACTGACACAGAAGGGTCTGGGCAGAATTGGGCAATGGGAACACACTGCATCCCACGTCCTCAGTCTCGGAGCCAGAGTAAAGAGGGGTCTTTTCCCCATCAATCTAGT